CGAATAAATGTTTGAAAAGTCAATGTGACACTTCGGACTCGTATCCGGGTCGGATACGGGTTAAATGTGTTACATTTAATGGTATCAGAGCTACGGTTTAGCCGATTCTAGGCTAAAAACGAAATCAAAAGTGTTTTAAAAAGTGCACATGCCAACACAAAGTGAAAAATAAAAAAATTCTGATCTGATAGGGTAAGGAGTGTGCTGTCTTGTTAATAGAGTTAAATTGTTATGTTATATGATATGATAGATGATATGTGAACATATGCAAATGACATGTTATATGATATGAATTGGATGATTATGCACACGTGATATGTGATAGAAGAAATGATATGAGAGTTTGTAAAGTGAAATACAAGATGATAGACCTGAAGGTAATAGCATTCACCTGCCCTGGCCAGGCAGGGAGAAGAGCGAAAACCTCAGGGAATGTCTGTATAAGATTAGAGAATGATTCATGATGTTGAATGATATTCCGATGTGTTTTCAATTGTATACTTCGTTAACTCATAGAATGAATGTATTAAAATAGTTAAAAGAGTTATGAGCACCCGAGCTCAAGGGTGAATTTGAGGAAGGCTCTGTTGTTACAGACCTTTGGATAAATGATATAAAGATAATGCTAGAAGATGTTCATTTCTCCATAGTGGAGAAATTAAATTGAGAAGTTTGTTATTATGTGGATAAGATGGAATATGGTGAACGAGTGTCACCATAAGGATGTTAAAAAGATTAAATGAATTAGTGAGAATTTGTAAAAGAGTTCAAGGATAAGTGCATCAGTAACAAGGTATAAGGTATATGAAGCCAGAGCTTATGAGTTTGAATGAAGGGATAATATTGGGTATAAGCAAGAGTGTGGATATGATTAAGAGATTGGTGCTTCATAGAGTCAGTACCATCAAAGAGAGTCAGACAGACTCAATTAGTATGGTTGGTACTGAAAGATTAAACAATGATTTAATTGATAATAAACCAAGGTTAAAGACAACCTTTGTGAATTAGATTAAAGTTTGTTAGAGTTATGAAAATTGAAGCGGGAAAAGTGTTCTAAAGGGTGGAGAGATAGTATGAGATTTGGTAATTGTTGAAATAATTCCAATTGCAAAGAATGTATATAAATGGTTAGATGAAGGTTTTCGCTTTAGATTAGAAGAATCGATGTTGATTAACAGAGTTACGAAGTTGGAGTATATTAAGTTAAAGGATTAGAAGCTGATAAAGGAAAATACAATTATAAGAAGATTTTGACAATAAAAGGATAAATGGATAAAGAAATGAAAAGATGGTGTTTAAAGGATTAAATATGATGAAGGGTTATAAGGAAGTGCAGATTAAGTTTGATTAGAAGTAAGAAAAGTATGTAGGTTATATGAAGAGATTATGTGTAGTAATACAGACAAGGATGAAAGAATGAGTAAAAGTTTGGATTGTGGTGAATTAATTAGAAAATGAGGAAAGAAATCAATTGATTGATTTTTGATTTAGAGTGATAAGAATTGATGTTACTGTCTACAGGATAAGTAACATTATATGAATTTTAGAAAGGTCAAAGGAAAAATGCATAATCGAATGAGAGAAAAGACAACAATGGATTGATATTACTGGTTATTGTTTATATGATAAGCAACAAAAGATGAATGTATAAACGAAAAAGATAGTTGGAAAACTAAAGGATTGAAAAGTAAGTTTCTGATGATGACAACAAAGAATAAGTCACGGAAGCAACATAATAACATTAGAAGATATGTTTTTATTAAGATGTGCAGTGAAAATTCGAGGACAAATTTTCTTATAAGGAGGGGAGAGTTGTAACATCCCAAACTATGGGTTAGTGACTAAATGGTAAAGTTTCAGAAATTTGGTGATTAAAGTAGAAGAATGGATTAGTTTAATGATTTATCTGGAGATAAATCCTAAAAGTTTTAGTAATTATTGAATGAATTAATGGGTAAAATGGTCTTTTTATCTAAAAGATAATTATCTTATCTCTTTATTAAGAGATAAGCATATAGGGAGATATTTCTCCAGAACTTCTCATTCTTCTTCCTCTCCTACCGTATCTCCAAGCTCAAAGGTGAGTCTTCTACTTAGTTAATTATTTGTTAAGTTTAAGATTGGGTTTTGATCATTAGATGATAACTAAGCTTAAGGAAAGCTTAAGTTATCTTAAGATCAAAAGATAAAGGAGATAGAGATAAAGATTAGAGGTCTTGAATGAAATATTGGAATATAGTTCATAACAAGAATTGAAAGTTGGATTTGACTTGTTATCAATCTAAGTAAGAGATATGAAGTAATAGAATTAGATTTGAAACATGTTGCAAAATTGATGTAATTATTAAATTACATATGGAAGATAGGATTTTGAGGTTTAAGATGAAATAAATGAGTATAAATTGGTTTAAGGATGTGTACTAGAGTTAAGAGTGAAAGTGGGGATTAAACATGAAGGATTTAATCCAAAATGAATGATTTTCGGGTTCAAAAAAAGGATTCTGGGCAGAGTGCATCGATGCATATTCATTGTGCATCGATACATCAAGGTTAAAACCCAGAAATTTGTTTGAAGGTGTATCGATGCATTGGTAGTGCATCGATGCACTCTTTTAAAATAAATACATCGAATGCAATTCATGCATCGATGCATAAGTAGTGCATCGATGCATCCCATTAATAATGAAACATCGAATGCAATTGGTGCATCGATGCATAATGAGTGCATCGATGTATCCCAACAATAATATTACATCGAATACCTTTTATGCACCGATGCATCAGTAGTGCATTGATGCATACCTTCATTAAAAGATGAAATTGACTTTTCTCTTAGTCTAAAGAGTGAACCATTATAGTATATTAGTTATAATACTGATATAGATCCATGTGTGATTATGTAGATACTAAAAGTAAGCTTATTCCGGAACAATCAAAGGATTAGAATCGAATCAAAGCAAAGCTAAGTTAAGTGCATACTATATGTATAGTATAATGGAATAAGAATTGTGATAAGTCTAATCCTTATGTTGATTTTTATAATACAATGATTGTGAACATGCATACATGATAATTATGGTGATATGATATGTGATATGAGAACATGATATGAATTAAGTGATATGAGCTACATGATCTACGTGAATGTATGCATTGTGATACATGTGATATGATATGAAATATAATTACACATACATGTGGTATGTGACAGAAGAGAAAGAACAAGTGATATGAAAGGTATAAGAATAATGCCCATAGTATACGATATGAGAACTATAGGTGTAGTTGGCATGCCAAGAGTCGAGGGTTTACATATGTTTAAAGGCACAAATGAACAATTTACATATGTTTAAAGGCACATATGAATAGTTTACATATGTTTAAAGGCACATATGAATAGTTTACATATGTTTAAAGGCACATATGAACATTTTACATATGTTTAAAGGCACATATGAATAGTTTATATATGTTTAAAGGCACATATGAACAGTTTACATATGTTTAAAGGCACATATGAACAGTTTATATTGTGACCTCTGGATTGTGGTCCTTCGGGACGAATACTGAACTAGGGTTCGGTGCCCCATGAGGGAATTGATACGAGCTGTGGTGACAGTATTAGTGCACAACCTCAATGCACTCACATACCTCTATTCTCAATAATAGTGTACATGGGCTAATAAAGAGATCAAACAAACATACTGAATGTGATATGTATACGATGGGTTTATAAATGGTTATCAAAGGTAAGTGGTTTGAAATGTGTTACATGAACCATATGATGTTATGTGTGTTTCTTAATGATAATGATGGTATATGTTTATGTATGATTTATGTTATATGAAATATTATATGTTTATATGCCTCACTAAGTCAACGACTTAGCGTGTGATTGTTTCACACGTAGGTTTGGAAAGCGAAAAGAAAAGTAAAAAGGAACAAGACAGGTCAGTTCTCCTTACCGAATGTCAGATCAGAAGAGAGGTGATTAATATGTACTTTAATATATAAAGTTTTAGTTGGCATGTATATAAAAGAATATATTGTATAAACTCTGAATAGTTTTGTAAACGTTTTGAATAAGTTGAATGTTATAAAAGTTTTTAAATTACTCAATATTTTATACGAATAAATGTTTGAAAAGTCAATGTGACACTTCGGACTCGTATCCGGGTCGGATACGGGTTAGGGGTGTTACACTACAATACTTGTCAATCATTCGGACTGTTTTGTAAAAGTCAACACAGTTTTTTAAAAACAAAACAAATTTCAAATTTCTATTATATAATTTGATAAAATACACAAATAGTCATTTGCTTATAGGGCGTTGTTTTGTTGAGTCTCCCGACTATTAAAAGTTACAAAATGATTCTATGACTACATGATGTTGCTTTATCGAGTCCGCTGACTATTAAAAGTTACAAAATAGTCACCAGACTATTCATATGTTCTAAACTCATCATTTTTTAGTTAATTGAAGACAATCTGAGTTGGACATTAAACTGTTGACTGAGTTTATTAATCTTTCAACGACATGATACCAAATTAAAATCTAAACTAAACGTTAAGTATAATTTAAAAAACAAAACTTAAATATTATAGCCGAATAACAATAATACTTTAGGTACTAAAGGACAATGTATTAGATAATCTTATTGAGTGATAATAAAACTACTAAAGTATTAATATGACTTATTGTGTACGTAGAAATTGGTACGAGGGCATTAAGCCACAACGTGGGAAACGCACACCCTTTATGATCCCTATGGACGGCAGCAACGCCACGACTACACTCTACGACTCTCGTCTCAACCCAAACGTGGCGCCGTGTGCCACCACAAATAGAATCCTCAAATCACGTGCGCCACCACAAACCTCCGTCGCTTGTCTTTCTCTATATATATTTACAACATCCACCTTTTTCAAACCGATCATCCAAAAAAAAAAACTAAGTTTAGATTTTGTCGGTACTTCAACAAGTCAACCTGCTCTTGTCGTTACTTTCGGTCGTTTTGTATCACTCTTCCTGGACATGGGGAGGGCGCCTTGCTGTGAAAAGGTAGGGCTGAAGAGAGGGAGGTGGACGGCGGAAGAGGATGAGCTATTGACGAAGTATATTCAAGCTAATGGTGAAGGCTCTTGGAGATCATTGCCCAAGAATGCAGGTATAACCCACGCTTCTTTTCCTCTTTATTTCTGTGTTTTCATTTTTTTCCAGTAAGATAATTTTATTAGAATAATCGAACAAGTATTACCCGATTGCATGCCTCGTTAAAAGTCTCTGTATTTGCTTTTCTCCTGTTGCCATTTTGAAGGGTTACTGAGGTGTGGGAAGAGTTGCAGACTACGCTGGATTAACTACTTGAGAGCCGACTTGAAAAGAGGAAACTTTACTGCCCAGGAGGAACAACTCATCCTTAATTTGCATGCTTCTTTGGGAAATAGGTTAGTCTGTCTCATTGTTTTTCTCTTCTCTTTCAAATTCGTTTTACATTGTTATTCTCTTTATATATCCTAAATTCAAATAGTTACGTATAATAGCTAATTTTTATTTTTGAATAATATGATCACACCATACTAATAAAAAGATCGTTATATATTTATATTAATTTCATTTTAGATTGCAAGGTACCTTAAATAAATCATATTTTTTTCCTATTTCTGGACTGAAATAATGTTATTTTTTATTCTAGTTTATACGGAGGAAAAAAAAGCTTTGCCCTAGCTTTCAGTAAATAACAGTTAACTTGTCCACTTTTTGTGAACTTTGGCTATTTCTGCTCTGTTTCACTGTCTCCGCTACATCTTTCAGCCTATAAATATCAGCTCTACGTAATTAATGTAAATTTATCCCGTTGGAATAGACTTAACTATACGTCAAAGTTCTTAAAAAAATATACGTCAAAGATTTGTACATAATCCTGTAGTATAATGTGGATCGTATTTCAGTTTTAGTTTGGTAAATATTATTATTATTATTACATATTAAAATTTAGGTTTAAGGTATCTTTCAATTTATAAGTAAAAAATATCTAAATATCTAAATAACCTAGATATTTTCTTATATATATATATATATATATATAAAAGATAGAATTAATTGAAAAATATTTGATAATACATATTGGTTGTTGCGTTTTATTCTATGAATAATGTATGAATTTAAATCAAACTAAACATATTTATAATTTTTCTGTTATAATAAGTGAAGAAAATGTTTCACATTGCTTATTAAATCACATCATATTTTAAAATATTTAACGAAGTACGTCTTATAAATTTAATTTTTCTGTTTGTTAGAAAAATTAATTTTTCTTAAGATTATTATAAAAATTCTTTTTAACATATAAACCCGTGATAATATATTTATTGATACATTTAATTTTTTATGCTTTAATAAGTGTCGGGAACATATTTATTTTTCTAAAAATTATTATAAAACTATTATTTATTCGTTTTCTTAACATAAAAAAGAACACGTGCTATGCTTTAGCCTTAACTACAATAACAAAGACGTCTAACTATCATTTAGCATTTTAGCTGCACAAATTAATTAAGCATTCATAGCTTGTCAGTCATTTGGAATTGATTATTGAGGAAACTATATGTTTAGTATCTAAATTATTAGTTTATTATGTTTTAGTACTTAATTTTTTAAGTACTAACGAACCGTTAAAAAATTATCAAAAGTACTAACATAATTTTTTTTTAAGTTTTTTCAATAATTATGATATTATCTTACAATGAAATGTCATGTTTTTTCTAAAGGTGGTCTTTAATCGCCAGTCACCTACCAGGAAGAACAGACAACGAGATAAAGAACTACTGGAACTCTCATTTGAGTAGAAAAATCCACAGCTTTCGAAGGCCATTTACCCCCACCATGCCCCCCGTCGTCATGGATATTAACAAGGCCGTCATCGCGAAGCGTAAAGGAGGAAGAAACAGTAAGGCCTCAACGAAGAGACACAACAATACCGATGCCGGAAGTTCTTCAAACAAACCTACAGAAAACCCTCGTGTCTATGAAACGGTGCCGTTTCCATCCACCCCAATATTAGAAAAAGAAACTTTGTCATTTACTGCCATGGAAGATAAGGAGAGAGGTAGTGAGGAAGGAACCACCATGGAGAATTCAATGCTGTGCCCTAGTGGTATTTTAGCACCACTTGAGAGTATCGAAAGCAACGGGATGCCTTGGTTTGATGATATAACGAACACTGAATTGCTACAACCACATGGGGATTTGGATTTAAGTGAAATGGCAGCTAATAATAATAATGATAGTGGGGACATGAACTCATCTTGCTCGATAACATCATGCTTTGTGGATGATTGGGAGTGGGAACGTGTTGTTAATGGGAACGAGCCATGGGATGAGAAGGAATTCATGTGTTCTTGGCTATGGGAATCGAATGATCATAATGTCAAAGGAGATAGACATAAATTGAACGATGATAATGATGACTTTGAGACTTATACTTGGCTTTTCACTTAATGCTCTCTCTCTCTCTCTCCTGGTGTAGTTGTCCCATTTTGTTTCTTCTTCATGGATTGTGTTGGATTCTTTTGTATCCACTTCGATATCAATATTTACGTAGCTAGACAGTGTGAACAAGTTTGTTTTTTTTCTTCCTTTTTGCCATTATTTGGGGGTTTGTTCTTTCCATGAGTGCTTTGGTTATAAAGACATTTATGGTAAAAATTTTTTTGAAAAAATCATTCTCAACTGTGTATTACCATGATACTTATTTTTCCCTTTCCTTCTTGGCTTTTATTCTAAGATAAGTCTAGAGTGAGTGACACACATAGATATGTACCAATAATGACGTACATTAATATGCACCACTAATATAAAAATATGATAAAATTAATAAATGGTCATTAAATTTATTAAAATAATTTCATTTGTCATTGAATTTTTAAAAGTTATAAAATAGACTTTAAACTTTAAATTTTATTAAACAATAGGTAACGACCGTGAAATATTATTAAGAGGTAACATGACATGCTAAATTAATAGGAAATATCTTATTTGGCTCCTCAATTATAACTAAAATTTCATTTTGATTTTTTTTTCAATATTTTTAAGTAATGATTTCAAAAAGAAATTAAAAATCTAATTTTTTTTTTAAATATATGAAAATAATTTATTTTTAAAGTTAAAAATTATATATATATATTTTTTGAAAATTTTCCATTCATCATATTATTTTATAACTTATTATTTATTAATCGTGATTGTATTTGTAAAATTAAGAATTTATAATTTTTTGAGATCGAAAAAATTTAATTATTAAACAATGTAATTATTTTTATTAAAGATTTGATTCATGCATTGATTTTTGTTTAAGAAATTTAAACACAATTAAAAAAATACGTCAAGAAAATTATAGTATTGCATTAATAAGAAAAATATATCGAAACTAAAATAAAAATAATTGAAACAATCATTAACATGTAATAATATATCAAGTAATTTTTATAGTATAAATTCCATATTTATAATATGACACTAAAATAATATTTAATTTATTTATATCAATTTTGATTTCAATTCAACGTATATAATAAAAATTATTTTATTTAAAATTACCAGTAAAATGAATTTTTAGTTACAATTAAAGGGTCAAATGAGATTTTTTTTATTATTAATTTAACATGCCACGTAACCTCTTTAATGATAGATAATAATAGTGTGTCTATTTTGTAACAAAATCTAAAGTTTGCTTAATATATAAGTTTTGAAAGTTTACTATCTAAATATATTATTTTGATATAGTTTAATGTCTATTTATGAATTTTACCTTATGAAATTAGAGGTGGATAGCAATGTTTGACACCCATTAAATTTTTCTTATTCAAATATCATCAAAACAAAAATTAATACCGAAAATATTTAGACAAAGGAAAGTGATTTAGTTGTGTAATGCCCCAAAACTTAATCCGGAAATTATAATTCTTAATTGGGACTCAATTGGAAAGATTGAAAAGTTGAGGGGCTCAACTAAATCAAATAAATTGTTCGAACGTTTCAATTGAAAGAAATTAAATACAGCGACTTAATTGAAAGAAATTTTGAAAATTTATTTAAAAGCATATTTAAAGGAGATGTTTATCACGTGAATCCTTAAAAGTTTAAGGACTTGTGTTTAAATGTACCCTTGCGTGATTTCTGGGGTGGTGTTTGGTGATGTTTTGGAGTGTAATATTGGTTGATATATGATGGTATTAAGGGACGGAACATGATTCTAGTTAAAAATTTAAAGTATAATTAACAATAAAAAATGAGAGGGACAAAATTAAAATAAATCAAATTTTAAAGATATAAATAGATATTTATTCATATATATTTTTTAATAATAAAAAATTGAGGGCGGCAATGGTCCCCTACAGCTACACATAGCTCCGTCCCTGATGTTACTTGTATTACTTATTGTCTATTTGAAACTTCTAATCCATCAAAGACTTCAAACAGAAAGGTAAAGAGAAAATTTGTTTTCGTTGAAGCAACGCATACCGGTGAGTTTATGGTACAATCATCACAATTTGTAGATTTATTTAGGGACTTATGCACGGGCTAGCCACCTATACCAAATTCTGGAGTTAAGTATTCCACTATTCCTTGAGTCTCTCATATGGTTGCATGTTTTTGCGAACAAATACATGGTCGACTTATACGAAACTACATGATGATCATTCTTGATTTGAAATTCCAGCATATATATGTCGACACCGTTTTTCGACCGCCGGGGTGAGATCGATACCAACTTAGGGGTTTTATCTTTGAAAATGGTTTCGAAATGTGAGGAGTCGCCACCAATCATTTAAGGTGCGATTGGGACACCATGAAAACCAAGTGATTTTAATAAAACGTTTTATTTTTATCAAAATACCGAGTTTTAAGGTCTGCGAAAAACCCAAAAATCAGGTTCGGAAGTCGGTTACGCGTGTGAAAGGATTAACACCCCACAAGCGCCCAAAAATTGGTACCTAGTTGAATAGCTTTTATTTAAAATCGGAAATTTTGAGTTTGATCTTTGTTTAATTTGAAAATCATTACGAATGCAAAGTTGAAAAATATATTCGTTTATTGATACCGATAGGATTCGCTCCCAAACGTAAATGTTGGAGATCATCTATTGTGCATAATAACCGAATTGTTGAAAACATTTTGATATTTCGATATAACAAGTTAAGTGTTATTGAATTTTAAGATTTTATAATAATTTTTAAAGTATATTCGATTAAATTATTCGAATATCAAAATATTATTCCAAGTTTTTCAAATATCAATTTCAATCATTACTTAAAAGTAATATTGTGCTTTAATCTTAAAATATTTTTGAAACAAATTTTACAAAGTATTTCGAGCCTTAATCAAGCCAAAAATAATTTTTAATAGAAGGGCTTCGAAAAATAACAGATTGCCCCGTGGGTACCGATACCCCTAGAGTACCGATGCCTCTATGCAAGATTTGGCTTCGAAAATAACAGAATGCCCTATGGGTACCGATACCCCTTATGGGTACCGATACCTCTATCCATATAACAGTCGAAATATTTGAATTTTACACTACAAGTACCGATACCCAATGAACAAGTACCGATACCCTACGCTCCCAGCAGACTTTTTCAATAGTGTTTTCACACTACAACGGCTCTTAAATCACCCAAATGATTCACAACGGCTATAATCAATCCAAGGCTACAATCAATCCAAGGTGTATTTAAACAAGTTCTGAAGCCATTGATCAATGAGAATTCATTGAGAAACAAGAGAGAAAGCATTAAACATCAAGTTTGTGCATTTCAAGCCAATTTTCCTTCAATATTCATTTCGCTTTCAAGAACACATATTGTGCCCATTTGTAATCATCTTTGAGTGTTCTTTTCTTGTTCTAGAATTGTGTAAACACATTGTCTTGTGAGGTTTTTTCTGTAAGTTTGCAAAATTTATATTGTTCTCTTTGGGAGAGAGTGCTCTCAAGAATTTGGGGTATAATTCTTGATAGATTTGTAAGGTTACTCTTTGTCCTCAAAAGAAAGAAAAATTAGTGAATTTGTGGAAAATCCTTAGTGTGGATAGCTAAGGTAGTGGACTTAGACTTTGGTTGAGAAAGTCAAACCACTCTAAATCGATGTGCAAATATTTTCAATTTTCTGCAAAAGCTTCCACCAAAAATTTTATTTCCAATTCACCCCCTCTTGGCTATTTCGTCGATCGATTAACTCAACAATTGGTATTAGAGTCTCACTCATTTGAAGGTTTAATCGCCTCTTGAGTCGATTCAGGAAGAGTTATATCGATATTCAAGTCATCAATGACCTCCACTTTAAACTCTGACTTCGGTCTTAATTCTATGTCCATCAACAAGGCTCCTTTCTTCAATGCAACTAATTATGCTTATTTGAAGAATAAAATGAGGTATTTCATTCAAGCGAGTGACATGGGAGCATGGAATATCATAGAAGACAGATACTTCATTCCTTCCATTCATTCAAGATTATGGACTGAAGTAGAGACAAGAATGTTCCAGCTCAACTCAAAGGCTATTCATTTTATATTTTGTGCTATTGGACCAGATGAATACGGGAGAGTTTCATCTTGTACAACCGCCAAGGAGATATGGTATAAACTACAAGTCACTCATGAAGGCACAGAAGAGGTAAAAGAATCTAAAATTAGTCTTTTAACTCATAGCTATGAAAATTTCACGAAGAAGCCGGATGAAGATATCAAAGCTATGACGGATAGATTTTCCACGATTGTCAATGGTCTCAAATCATATGGAGAGATCATTCCAAACGAAAAGCTTGTGAGGAAGTTAGTTTACTCTCTTCCAAAATTCTGGAAATCAAAGAAGACAGCAATCATCGTGGCTAAAAACTTAAAGTCTTTAACTCTCGAAGAGTTAATTGGTTCTCTCCTCACTCATGAAATGATGCTTCAAGATGAGGTAGTCATCGAAAAGATTGACGAGACAAAGAAGGAGAAGGAGAAAAAGAAGAACGTGGGAGTTGCTCTCAAATCCACAAAAGATAAGAGTGATTCGGATGAAGATGACGAGGAAATGGCATTATTTGCCAAATGGTTCAGAAAATTGATGAAGCCCAACCGAGGAAGAAAATTCAAACAAAATGAAGGCTTTAAAAACGAACCGAAGAAGAAAGGCCCTATTATTTACTATGAGTGCAAAAAGTCGGGTCATGTCAAATATGATTGCCCACAATTGAAGAAGAATGGTCAATCAAAGAAAAATCACAAGGCTCAAGTGGCTAGATGGAGCGATGATGAAGGTTCCGATGAAGAGGAACAAGAAGTAGCAAACTTGTGCTTGATGGCTGAAGACATTGGTTTTTTCCATTTGATTTATTATTATTATTATTATTATCATTATAATAATAATTATTATTAATATTAATAAAAAATTATTATTTACATTACAGGCCAAAAACCAGACTGGCCCATTTACAAATCTCAGAGCCCAAACCTAAATGTGTAACCTTAAACCTATTTAGGGTTTATATCTCACATTCAACCGCCAACGAGCAGCAACCGTTGG